GCAAAGACCTCACTCATGACACCGCACCTCAACCAGTCTTTGGCCACAACATACACCTGACCTCCCGTGCAACTTTCAAAGAAATTCTCCAGCCTCTTATTCCCTCACTTTGAAGGTGCCGCCAGGACCCAACACCATGTCCAAACAGGAGGAAATGAGAAGGTCAAGTTGTGGGAAGGACACCACACCCCACCTCATTACTTGCCAGGCTTTGGCATGCAAGAGCAGCTCACGCCAAATGTTGTCACGTGCAGAGGCTCTCTCGCCCTGTGGGCACTCAAGGAGCAGCATAAAAGCCGGCCCTGCACCTTCCTCCCTCACACACTCCTTTCAACGCCTTCTCCTCTGCGACCAAGGTGAGCCTTAACCCCGATCTCCTCCCTCACCCGCCCCATCGAACCCATCTCTCCACAGGTGCTATGCCCCTAAACCCAGCAGGCCTACCACCTCCCCACCACCATGCTCCCCACACACACAGGCCTCCCCACTCCCCTTGTCTACATAGGCACTACTCCTCAAAGCCCCAACACCCTCCACCTTCCCAACACCCTCTCTTCCAGGCACCCTCCACAACACAGACATGTCCTGCTACAACCTCTGCAACCCCTGCGGACCCACCCCGCTGGCTAACAGCTGCAACGAGCCCTGTGTCAGGCAGTGCGAGGACTCCCACGTCGCCATCCAGCCTTCCACCGTGGTGGTCACCCTGCCAGGACCCATCCTCAGCTCCTTCCCCCAGAACACCGCCGTTGGATCCTCCGCATCAGCTGCCGTGGGCAGCAACCTCAGCGCCCAGGGAGTGCCCATCTCTGGAGGCGGCTTCGGAGGCTTTGGCCTTGGAGGCTATGGCTTGGGAGGCCTGGGCTGCTTCTCTGGCAGAAGAGCCTGCTACCCCTGCTAAGGACCCACGCCAGGACCCCTGACAGCAGCTAACAATGCCCTGCAACCAACTTCATGGACTGAGGATGCTCTGATCTCCGTGTTCTGGGAGTACCTTCCACACAAAATGCGTAGGTGCTGATGGTCACTGTGCCTGCACCTCTGACCAGGGCCCTGCTGCTTTTGCTCATTCCTTTTTCACGAGTCTTCCTCAATAAAGTTCTAATGCATGCCAGCCTGACACTCCTCCTTTCTTCACAGAATGCTCTTCATCCAATGGAATCTGGACGGGCTGGAGAAGCAGGCCCATATGAACCACATGAGGTTCAACAAGTCCAAGTGCAGTGTGCTGCACCTGTTTTGGGGCAATCCCAGACAGGTGTACAGACTGGGACAAGAACTCATTGAGAGCAGCCCTGCAGAGAAGGACTTGGGTTGTTCTGGTGGATGAAAGGCTCAACAGCACCCAGCAGTGTACACCTGAAGCCCATAAGGCCAACTGCATCCTGTGCTGCATCAACAGAGCAGTAACCAGCATAGTGAGGGAGTTGATTGTCCCCCTCTTTTCTGTCCTCATGAGGCTCCACCTTGAGCTCCTCACCTATGAAAGAAAGGCTCAGAGACCTGGGGATGTTCAGCCTGGAGAAGTGAAGGCTCTGCTGAGCCTTCCTTGAGATCTTTTAATAGTTAAAGGGGTCTTCAAAAAGGATGGAGAATGTCTCTTTACTCCTGTAGATAATGATAGGAGAAGGGGAATGGTCTTCAACTAAAAGAGGATAGATTTAGACTAGACATTAGGAGGAAATTCTTCAGTGTGAGGGTGATGAGGCACTGGAACAGATTGTCAAGACAAGACTTTGAATGCCCCATCCCTGGAGGAGTTCAAGGCAAGCCTGGACGGGGCCTTGGCCAATGTGATCTGGTGGGTGACATCCCTTCCTACGGCAGAAGGCTGGAGTAAGATGATCCTTAAAGTTCCTTCCAAGGTGAGACAGCCTAAAATGATTCCTTCTTGACCCTGTTTAAGTACATGGTTCAAGATCAGGTCAAAAAGTGCCACAAGACCTCCCCTATTGTGCTGTTTTTATGTGGTAAAGTTTTGGTAGTGGGGACTACAGGGGAGGCCTCTGTGAGAATAATCCAGCAGCTGCCCCATGTTTGATAAGGGCCTGTTTCAGCCATCTACAGAGGGACTGATGCTGCATAGTGCCAAGCCAATAATCGATGTTGTTTGTGCCTCTCTGATCCTCCACCTTCACAACAAGCACTATCACAGAGTCCTACATATAGGTAGGCCGTCAGTCACTTCTACGTAGAAGATGCTGTGCAGGCACACATGGGATATGCTCTCTACAAATCCATGCTGACTACTCTCCATCACTTTTCCGTACTTGAGAATACATTCAGGGAGGATTTCCTCAGAACCTTCCCAGAGGCTGATATCAGGCTGACCAGGCTGCAGTTTCCCAGAAATTCCTCCTTCATCTGTTCTTGAACAAAAGAGTGGGATGAGTCTCTTCCAGTTTTCAGGAACCTCTCCCAGTCACCATGACCTTTCAAAGATAACTGAAACTGCTATTGCAAACATATCACCTGGGACATTCAGCATTTGCAGGTGTAGCTCGTTGGGTCCCATGTACTCCTGCATAACCAGTTACACAGACTCCCCAGCATCTTCGTCAACAAGCTGCAGTGGGAAACCCTTCAAAACAGTCACCTTGGCAGATCAGGGTCTGCACTTGCCATTCCCCACTCCTCAGAATGCAACCACGACCACTGGGGCCTCAGGTGCAGAGCCACAAGCAGCATGCACACCTCCAGCTCCCCTCTGAAAGGTCCACGTTTTATGTGTCAGCACTGAAAACCATGCACAGAAGTTGTGTTCCCCTTTGAAATTCACCTCAAAGAACACCCCAGTGCTTTGGGCCCAGACCTTCTGGACACTCCCACATGACTGTCCCTGCCCCTCACAAATCTCACAGCCTCCCCCAGGCCTCAACAGACAGCCCAAGAGATTCATAGAATCATAGAATCATAGAATATCCTGAGTTGGAAGGGACCCTTAAGGATCATCAAGTCCAACTCTTGACACCGCACAGGTCTACCCAAAAGTTCAGACCATGTGACTAAGTGCACAGTCCAATCTCTTCTTAAATTCAGTCAGGCTCGGTGCAGTGACCACTTCCCTGGGGAGCCTGTTCCAGTGTGCAACCACTCTCTCTGTGAAGAACCCCCTTCTGATGTCAAGCCTAAACTTCCCCTGCCTCTGCTTAACCCCGTTCCCGCGGGTCCTGTCACTGGTGTTAATGGAGAAGAGGTCTCCTGCCTCTCGACACCCCCTTACGAGGAAGTTGTAGACTGTGATGAGGTCTCCCCTCAGCCTCCTCTTCTCCAGGCTGAACAGGCCCAGTGCCCTCAGCCGTTCCTCGTACGTCTTCCCCTCCAGGCCTTTCACCATCTTTGTAGCCCTCCTCTGGACACTCTCCAACAGTTTCATGTCCTTTTTATACTGTGGTGCCCAGAACTGCACACAGTACTCGAGGTGAGGCCGCACCAGCGCAGAGTAGAGCGGACAATCACCTCCCTCGACCTACTAGCGATGCCGTGCTTGATGCACCCCAGGACACGGTTGGCCCTCCTGGCTGCCAGGGCACACTGCTGGCTCATATTCAACTTGCTGTCTACCATGACCCCCAGATCCCTCTCTTCTAGGCTGCTTTCCAGCGTCTCATCGCCCAGTCTGTACGTGCAGCTGGGGTTTCCCCGTCCCAGGTGCAGGACCTGGCACTTGCTCTTATTGAACTTCATGTGGTTGGCGATCGCCCAGCTCTCCAACCTATCCAGATCCCTCTGCAAGGCCTTTCCACCCTCATCTGAGTCCACATAGGCCAAAGCCCTTCTGAAACGTCCTCTGAAACGTCCACATCGTATGAGTCAACAATGAAAACCATGCACAGAAATAGGATTCCCCCTTGAAACTCACCCCAAAGAACACCGCAGTTCTTTGGGCCCAGACCTTCTGGACACTCCCACATGTCTGTCCCTGCCCATCACAAATCTCACAGCCTCTCCCAGGCCTCAACAGACAGCCCAAGGGATTCCCACCAAACTGTATTAGGCCAAAGCCCTTGTGCTGGCCACAGAACAGGGAGCTCAATGGAGGTGCCAACACAACCCTTGGAAGCATGGCAGGGCTCCCAATGCACTTAGTCTTGTCAGCCCTGAGACAGGCCCGCGACTACAACACCCTGCTATGCAAACACCTCTTCTCTGCCTCTTTGGACTGCGGCCCCAGGGACAACACAGGGGTCTTGCTCCCATACACTTGCTCCCACATACAGCCTCTACATGCACGATTGCCACCAAGCCACCAATGAAGCACACCCAATGGGAAAGACAAGGGCTAGTCACAGGCTGGTGTGTTGGGATGAAGGCATGGAGGGAGTGAATGTGAAGCAAGTGGTAGCGCATCACGCCCAGTATACCGGAAAAAACACTGGCAAACCTACTGGGGATGCCAACAAGGGGACTCCTCCTCACAAAAGCCACCGACCACACCTCATGAGTGCCAAACCATGACCTCACGGACAACAATGCACCTCTCCCATGTCTTCAATGCAACATCTATCCACTCCTACATGAACCTTCAAAAGCTATCCTTCGGTCTTTAATACTCTCACTTGAAATGTTCCGCCACTTCCAACATCCTGAACAGGAAGAAATGGAGGCAGAACATTGTGGGGAGATCACACCCCACCTCATTACTTGAGGGGTTGTGGCATGCAAGAGCAGCTCACGCCAAATACTGTCATGCGCAAAGGCTCTCTCGCCTCACGGATACTCGGGACCAGCATAAAAGCCGGCCCTGCGCCTCTCACCCTCACACACTTCTCCTGAGCTTCTCCCTGCACCCAACAAGGTGAGTCTGAACTCTGCTCTGCTCCTTCACCCACCACACTTGTCCATCTCTCCACCAACCTTCTGTCCCCAGCCTCAACAGCCCTTCCACCTCCCAACCACCAGGCTCTCCATAGCCCCACTCTGGGCCTTTCCACTCCCTTGGCCTACCCCAGCACTGCTCTTCATGCCACCAACACCCTCCGACTTTACAATACCCTCTCTTCCAGGCACCCTCCACACCACAGACATGTCCTGCTACGACATCTGCCGCCCCTGCGGACCCACCCCGCTGGCTAACAGCTGCAACGAGCCCTGTGTCAGGCAGTGCGAGGACTCCCACGTCGCCATCCAGCCTCCTACCGTGCTGGTCACCCTGCCAGGACCCATCCTCAGCTCCTTCCCCCAGAACACCGCCGTTGGATCCTCCGCATCAGCTGCCGTGGGCAGCAACCTCAGCTCCCAGGGAGTGCCCATCTCTGGAGGTGGCTTCGGAGGCTTTGGCCTGGGAGGCCTGGGCTGCATCTCTGGCGGAAGAGCCTGCTACCCCTGCTAAGGGTCCCATGCCAATATCCCTGACAGTAGCCTCCAACACCATGCCAGCCAGCTCTCAGTCTGAGGACCCAATTCCGTGCTGTCCATGGCATACGAGCTGACAAGCCACAGCTCGTCATTCCATGGCACAACAAAGCAAGCAAGCAAGGTATTGGACAGCCCTTGCTGTCAGGAAACATGGCCAACACACCCCCTTCTTTCTTCGTCTTTCTCCTTTCCATAGCACCACCACCTACCACCAGTGTTCTCTGCTGCAATGCCTTGCTCACTAGCATAGTCCCTTGGGAACCTTTCTGGGGCTGCTCCCACCATGGGTAGGGAGACCTAAGGGCTCTGGGAAAATCCGCTGTATGCAAGGACATAGGTTAGTGGTCATCCTCCAGCCACCTCAGAATGTGCATCTCCCACTTGAAGCTCCCTCTGTTTCATGTTTTCCTCAATAAAATGAATCTGCATCCCAAATCCTGAGATGCCTCTTCATTATTTCTTCTCCCAACGCTTTCCAAATTCACCGACAAAAAGAACAAAAAGCAGGGCTCAAGTGGCCATCAGGCCCCAAGCCTCTTGGTGTTCAAGAAGTATTTGGACAATGCTCTTACATATCTCCTAGGCACTAAAATGGAAAGACATGATGGGCCACTCAGCAGATAAGGAATTGCCTGCACGGTCACATTCCAAGAGTTGCGCTCAACAGCTCAGTGCCCAGGTGGGGACCGGGGAGGAGTGGTGTCCCTCCGAGGTCTCTATTGAGGCCAGTATTATTTCACCGAGTTGTCCCTCACACGGACACCACACATATGTTGCAAGACTCTGGTGGATGTGGATGCATCTTTGTGCCGTCGCTGACCCACAAGTTCTCAAGCATGCCGGCCTGACGTGCTTCCTCTTCCCTTCTTCTTCCCACTTCCCTCAGCACAAAGGCAAAGTTCTAGAGGTCATTCGGATAGGTTGAAAAGGGCCACAACACCTTAAAATACATCACCCAAGACCTACAAGTGACCAGACACAAGCTTCATCATTCTAAAGCCCTTCTGCCCATGCCTTCTGAAACAATTTCCCCTCATTAGCACACCCTACAGCTGCTTTCTTGTGCACCACGATCGTACACAGTGACCCATCACAAAGTGACGAGCCTGCAGTTCCCCACACCTTTCTTCTGCATCTGTTGAACATCACAGTGGGATGAACCTCTTCCAGTCTTCAGGAACCCAGTTGCCATCAACTTTCAAAGAAAGATGAAAGTAGCCTTGTGAAGATATCTGCCAGGACTCTCAGCATTTGTAGGTGCAACCTGACAGGTCCTGTGCACTTCAGTACATCCAGTGGCACAGCTTCTCCATCTTCCTCGGCAACGTGCACTACTCACCTGAGAGACAGCCCACGAAACACTCACCTTGGCTAACCAGTAGAAGGTCTTTATGTTCACTCACCCTTTGCAAGTTTAGCTCGCATGCCTCCAGTTTCTCACTGAAAAGTCCAAATCATCTTTCAGAAAATTAAACACTGGGCAGAGAAATAGGTTTCCCCCTTGACACAAATCCCAAATATCATCCCCAATTATATGATGGCTACCAGCTGGCCCTTTCTCATAGTCCATCTTGTCCTCTGCCTTTCATAAAACTCAGGGCCGCTCACAGACCACACCACCCAGCCTGAGAAACCCATTAAGCAAAGTGTCAAGCCTTGTGTTCTCTGGGGACGTCTGCTTTGGCAAAAAAGGGGAAACATGGAAAAGTCAGGAAACATGGCCAGTGTAGGACCTACTCATCTCTTGTTCCTTCTTTTCATAGCATCTACTTCTATGCCCAATGTTGTCCACTGCAATGACTTTCCTACAGCCACAAAGGCCAGTGTGTCTGGGCCACACCACATGAATGCCACGCAAAGACCTCACTCATGACACCGCACCTCAACCAGTCTTTGGCCACAACATACACCTGACCTCCCATGCAACTTTCAGAGAAATGTCCCGGCCTCTAAATCTTGCTTTGAAGGTGCTGCCAGGACCCAATACCATGTCCTCAACAGCAGGAAATGAGAAGGTCAAGTTGTGGGAATGACACCACACCCCACCTCTTTACTTGCCAGGCTTTGGCATGCAAGAGCAACTCACGCCAACTGTTGTCATGCGCAGAGGCTCTCTCACCCTGTGGGCACTCACGGACCAGCATAAAAGCCGGCCCTGCACCTTGCCCCCTCACACACCACCAACGCCTTCTCCCTGTGACCAACAAGGTGAGCCTTAGCCCCGATCCCCTCCTTCTCCTGACCCATCGGATCCACCTCTCCACATACCTTCTGGCCCTAGCCTCAGCAGCCCCTCCACCTCCCCTCCACCATGCTCCCTAAAATCACAGGCCTCCCCACTCTCTTGCCTTCATGATCACTGCTCCTCACACCCACAACACCCTCCACCTTCCCAACACCCTCTCTTCCAGGCACCCTCCACAACACAGACATGTCCTGCTACAACCTCTGCAACCCCTGCGGACCCACCCCGCTGGCTAACAGCTGCAACGAGCCCTGTGTCAGGCAGTGCGAGGACTCCCACGTCGCCATCCAGCCTTCCACCGTGGTGGTCACCCTGCCAGGACCCATCCTCAGCTCCTTCCCCCAGAACACCGCCGTTGGATCCTCCGCATCAGCTGCCGTGGGCAGCAACCTCAGCGCCCAGGGAGTGCCCATCTCTGGAGGCGGCTTCGGAGGCTTTGGCCTGGGAGGCTTGGGAGGCTATGGCTTGGGAGGCCTGGGCTGCTTCTCTGGCAGAAGAGCCTGCTACCCCTGCTAAGGACCCACGCCAGGACCCCTGACAGCAGCTAACAATGCCCTTCAACCAACTTCATGGACTGAGGATGCTCTGATCTCCGTGCTCTGGGAGTACCTTCCACACAAAATGCGTAGGTGCTGATGGTCACTGTGCTTGCACCTCTGACCAGGGCCCTGTTGCTTGTGCTCCTTCCTTTTCATGAGTCTTCCTCAATAAAGTTCTAATGCATGCCAGCCTGACACTCCTCCTTTCTTCACACAACACTCTTCATTCAAAGGGACCTGGACAGGGTGGAGACGCAGGCCAATCAGAACTGAATGAGTTTCAACAAGTCCAAGTGCTGAACATGGGTCAGGGCTATTGCAGACAGGAGTACAGACTGGGAGAAGAACTCATTGGAAGCACCCTGCAGAGAAGGACTTGGGTTGTTCTAGTGAATGAAAGGCTCAATAGGATCCACCAATGCATGCCTGCAGCCCACAAGGCCAACTGCATCCTGTGCTGCATCAACAGAGCAGTAATCAGCATAGTGAGGGTGTTGATGTTCCCCCTCTTTTCTGTCCTCATGAGGCTCCACGTTGAGCACCTCTCCTGTGAAAGAAGGCTCAGAGAACTGGGGATGTTCAGCCTGGAGAAGTGAAGGCTCTGCTGAGACTTCATTGAGATCTTTCTGTACTTAAAGGCGTGTTCTTAAAAAGATAGAGAATTTCTCTTTACTTGTGTAGATTATGATGGGAGAAGGGGTAATGGTCTTCAACTAAAAGAGGATAGATTTAGACTAGACAGTAGGAGGAAATTCTTCACTGTGAGGGTGATGAGGCAATGGTACAGGTAAGTTGTGGTTACCCCAGCCCCAGTGGTGTTCAAGGCCAGCCTGGATGGGACCTTGGCCAACGTGATGTAGTGGGTGGCATCCTTGCCTATGGCCGAGGGCTGCAGTAATATGATCCTTAAAGTCCCTTCCAAGGTGAGCCATTCTATGATGATTCCTTCTTGACCCTGTTTAAGTACATGGTTCTAGATCAGGTCGAAAAGTGCCACAAGACCTCTTCTATTGTGCTGTTTTTATGTGGCAAAGTTTTGGTAGTGTGGACTACAGAGGTGGCCTCTGTGAGACAAATTAAGCAGTTGCCCCATGTTTGATAAGGGCCTGTTTCAGCCATCTACAAAGGGACCTGCTACTGCATTGTGCCAAACCAATAATCGATGTTGTTTGTGCCTCTCTGATCCTCCACCTTCACAACAAGCACTTTCACAGAGTCCTACATACAGGTAGGCCGTCAGTCACTTCTACGTAGAAGATGCTGTGTAGGCACACATGGGATATGCTCTCTATAAATCCATGCTGACTACTCTCCATCACTTTTCCGTACTTGAGAATACATTCAGGGAGGATTTCCTCAGAACCTTCCCAGAGGCTGATATCAGGCTGACCAGGCTGCAGTTTCCCAGATATTCCTCCTTTAACTTTTCTTGAACAAAAGAGTGGGATGAGTCTCTTCCAGCTTTCAGGAACCTCTCCCAGTCACCATGACCTTTCAAAGAGAACTGAAACTGCTATTGCAAACATATCACCTGGGACATTCAGCATTTGCAGGTTTAGCTCGTTGGGTCCCACATTCTCTGCAAAACCAGAAACACAGACTCCCCAGCATCTTCGTCAATGAGCTGCAGTGAGACAGCGTACAAAAGAGTCACCTTGGCAGATCAGGGGCTGCACTTGCCATTCCCCACTCCTCAGAATGCAACCACGACCACTGGGGCCTCAGGTCCACAGCCACAAGCAGCATGCACACCTCCAGCTCCCCTCTGAAACGTCCACAGTGTGTGTGTCAACACTGAAAACCATGCACAGAAATTGCATTCCCTCTTGAAATTCAACTCAAAGAACACCCCAGTGCTTAGGGCCCAGACCTTCTGGACACTCCCACATGTCTGTCCCTGCCCCTCACAAATCTCACAGCCTCTCCCAGGACTCAACAGACAGCCCAAGAGATTCCAACCAAACTGCAGTAGGCCCAAGCCCTTGCCGTCAAAGTGCTGGCCACAGAAAAGGGAGCTCCATGGAGGTGCCAATGCAACCCTTGAAGAAGCATGGCAGGGCTCCCAATGCACTTAGTCTTGTCAGCCCTGAGACAGGCCCGCGACTCCAACACCCTGCTATGCAAACACCTCTTCTCTGCCTCTTTGGACTGCGGCCCCAGGGACAACACAGGGAGCCTGCTTGCTCCCACATACAGCCTCTACATGTAAGATGGCCACCAAGCCACCAATGCAGCACACCCAATGGGAAAGACAAGGGCTAATCACAGGCTGGTGAGTTGGGATGAAGGCACTCGAGGGAGTGAATGTGATGCAAGTGGTAGCGCATCACACCCAGCATACCTGAGAAGCACTGACCAACCTGCTGGAGACGTCAAAAAGGGGGGCCCCCTCCTCACATCAAAGCCAACGAGAACACCTCATGAGTGCCAAACCATGACCTCATGGACAACAAAGCACCTCTCCCATGTCTTGAATGCAACATCTATCCACCCCTACATGAACCTTCGAAAACTATGCTTGTTCTGAGGACTTCAGCTTGGAGGAAAAGGTGGAACATGGAAAAGTTGGGAAATATGGCCAGTGTAGGACCTACTTACCTCTCATTCCTTGTTTTCATAGCACCCAATTCTATACCCTATGCTGTCCATTGCAATAACTTGCTGATACCAACAAAGTCCAGTGTGGCTGTGCTATACCACATGAATGCCACGCAAAGACCTCACTCATGACACTGCACCTCTACCAGCCTTTGGACACATCATATACCTGCCCTCCCATGCAACTTTCAGAGAAATGCTCCAGCCTCTAATTCTCTCACTTTGAAGGTGCCGTCAGGATCTAACACCATGTCCTAAACAGGAGGAAATTAAAAGGTCAAGTTGGGGGAAGGACACCACACCCCACCTCATTACTTGCCAGGCTATGGCATGCAACAGCAGCTCATGCCAAATGTTGTCATGCGCAGAGGCTCTCTCACCCTGCGGGCACTCAAGGACCAACATAAAAGCCGGCCCTGCGCCTCACACCTCACACACTCCTCCTGAAGCCTTCTCCCCTGCGACCAAAAAGGTGAGTCTGAACCCCATTTTCCTCCTTCACCCGCCTTATCGAAACCATCTCTCCACACACCATCTGTCCCCAGCCTCAGCAGCCCTTCCGCCTCCCCTCCACCATGCTACCCACAAACCCAGGCCTCTGCAATCCCTTCGTTTCCCTAACCACCGCTCCAGACACACCTGACACTAATCACCTTCCCAACACCCTCTCTTCCAGGCACCCTCCACAACACAGACATGTCCTGCTACAACCTCTGCAACCCCTGCGGACCCACCCCGCTGGCTAACAGCTGCAACGAGCCCTGTGTCAGGCAGTGCGAGGACTCCCGCGTCGTCATCCAGCCTTCCACCGTGGTGGTCACCCTGCCAGGACCCATCCTCAGCTCCTTCCCCCAGAACACCGCCGTTGGATCCTCCGCATCAGCTGCCGTGGGCAGCAACCTCAGCGCCCAGGGAGTGCCCGTCTCTGGAGGCGGCTTCGGAGGCTTTGGCCTGGGAGGCTTGGGAGGCTATGGCTTGGGAGGCCTGGGCTGCTTCTCTGGCAGAAGAGCCTGCTACCCCTGCTAAGGACCCACGCCAGGACCCCTGACAGCAGCTAACAATGCCCTGCAACCAACTTCATGGTCTGAGGATGCTCTGATCTCCGTGCTCTGGGAATACCTTCCACACAAAATGCGTAGGTGCTGATGGTCACTCTGCCTGCACCTCTGACCAGGGCCCTGCAGCTTGTGCTCCTTCCTTTTCATGAGTCTTCCTCAATAAAGTTCTAATGCATGCCAGCCTGACACTCCTCCTTTCTTCACACAACACTCTCTATTGAAAGCGTCCTGGACAGGCTGGAGAAGTGGGTCCATGTGATCCACATGAGGTTCCAGAAGTCCAAGTGTTAAACGTGGGTCAGGGCAATCCCAGACAGGAGTACAGACTGGGAGAAGAACTCATTGAGAGCATCCCTGCAGAGAAGACTTGGGTTGTTCTGGTGGATGAAAGGCTCAAGAGGATCCACAGATGCACGCCTGCAGCCCATAAGGCCAACTGCACCCTGTGCTGCATCAACAGAGCAGTAATCAGCATAGTGAGGGAGTTGATTGTCCCCCTTTTTTCTGTCCTCATGAGGCTCCACCTTGAGCAGCTCTCCTGTGAAAGAAGGCTCAGAGAA